TGTCCACAGGCTCTCCAGATGTCTAAGCTCCCATGACAGTTGGTGGATATAGCCAAAAAGCCTGTGCAATGAATGATTCAGCTAATCCTAAAATAGACATGTTGACTGGCTGGTCAAACTTAATCCCATGCTTTTTGCTATGTCACTTCCACCTGCAAACTTCAAAATAACAGAATACATGATGTGTAATACTGCTAGAATTAAACTCCAGGTACTTACTACTGTCCGGCTTTCTGACTACATACAGCTGGAGCTTCACTGAGATTCTATTCACAGCACCACAACAGCTAGCTGAGTAGCCATCCTAAATACCTCAACAACTCATTTTCTGTATCATCATACACGCAAAAACCACAGAGGCTCATGGAACCACAATTCTCCTTAGCCTACCCCTTTCACTTTAATCATACAAAAAATTTTAAGAAAGAAAATTTGTAGGATAAACCTAAATCCTCTTATCACCACAGGAATCAGTCTTAGTCTTAAGGATAGTAAATACTACACCTGTACTTGATTTTAAAGCTATTTCTACACTATATGGCTATAGCATTAAAAATTGGCTCAGAGGCTTCTCATGCCATCAGACTGTATGACATGAAGTGCACCGAGTAGTGGTACTACCCACTTACTACAGACTGACTAAAGCACTTAACTGCTTTCAAGTAACTCCTCCATCTATCCTGAAAAACTGGTCTTACGACCCTTTATCACTGCTGCTGCTCAGCACTTTGCCTATAAACAACACATGAAGACCAGTGCTAGGGAGGGATGGGAAGAATCCCATTACTGGGCTGTTCTACAAAAGAAAGGTGTCAACCACCAGGACCTCCCAGACAGGAAACACCAGAGATCATGAGGGGTCATCTATTAAAGAACCTCAGGAGTGAGATTAGAGCTGGTGTCCCAAGAGGCAGACCAGGAAGGAGACAAGATGCAGCCACCTGTCCATAGGTAGCTGCCCTGACAATAGGGACTGCATTGCCAGAGGGCTCTTGGTGACTTCCAAAGGGGTGCAGGAAGGCACGAACAGCTTTTTTATTACACCAGGATTTAGGGAAAACAAACAGCGCTACAAAACCTCAAGGATTCTCCACTTGCTCTACTTCTATTGGTCATCTTGCAGAGATCAGCCATATCTTTATTTGTTCTAGACTGTATATCTATTAAGGGAATATACAAACAGGTAAAAAATAAAAAGCTTATTTCAAAACACAGTCAGCCTGCAGTCAAGGTAACAGCATACCTGTACCCCTGTAATGGAGCTATGTATCTGCCCAAACCACATAGGGGTTAATTAAAAAATAGCAAATGTTTTTGTTAGGTTTGAGATTTTGTGATTTCTGGCACAGCGGTTTTTCATGCGGAAACTTCCTCAAAAAGTATATTATTATTTCAGTATATCAAGCAAGATTGTCTCCATTTCTTCACAATGGAAGAAAGTAAAAATAGCCATGCATATTACTTGCATACATACACATGAAAATGTCAAACAAAGAAACTGTTTGCATTCTATGCTGCCACTTAAAAGACTCAAGAATATAAAAAAATTGTCTGTTCAATTCAACCAACAAGAAGCATCCTATGCATGTAATGTCATATCATGAATAACAAGCTTGAAGCAATACATGGTGTTTCAGGATTAATGTTCTTCACTTTCTGTTTTCAAAGCAACAGGAATACACAAGTAGGGAACTAAATTATCTATAATAGAGTCTTTAAAGCATACCCTTCCTCATAATAAAAAAATATTAAACAGAATCTTAGATGACAAGAAGGCAAGCATTTAAACTTCAGTTTCTGTGCTTGCATTCAGTAGTCATGTAATAGGTATATTTTTTAATGTGGAAACTAATTCTGAAAGCACAATACTTGTTTCAGTCTCATCTACAAAACTATTTTACTAACAATACCCTGGCACTCAGTTTTTTTGAGAACAATAACACTTCTGACATCAGGATTTTCCTTGGATATCTCACATTCAAGTACGATTCAGGCTTGCCGTGGCTACTATTGAGGCTTGAAAAAACTGTCTTATGGAGAAACAGCCACATGTATGCACTGTTGCATTTAATCCTACCTCATTTTATCCAGAGCAATTTGTTGCTGCAGTTACTCTGTAGACCTAGGAGTCTGGAGATCAAGGTGCTATTTCTGCACATGGAATAAGCTTCTTCAAGTAACACAGGCTACATCTGCACCTTCATTTCCCATCTCAAACTTGATTTGATTATAAACTTTATAGTATTTACTTTCATCCTGTTTTCTGGTTCAGTGAAGCCCTAAGTGTGTAGAATGGGACAAGCAAGGTTAACAAGGGAAAACTAAATTATTCTGAAGGCTACACTTTGTTTTTCAATATTAAATGTGATTTGAGAGCACTGTTTAAAGTTATTTTTAACGGGTATCATCTTTCCACTTTACTAGCCACTTATCTTCCCTCCAATTTTTACACATTGTAAATCTCCATTTTAATCTCCAAATACCAGACACACTTGTTTCTATCAAGCTTGTTTCTCTTTACAGAGTTCCAACATCTTTGTGGCCACACCAAGTAAATAATGAAATCCTGCTCACCAAACATGTTTTTTTAATTACAATGTTAACCTAAAACCAAATCCAAAACTCAATTCAATCAATGAAAGTCCCTTAATGTTACACAGACTGTAAATTCTATACTTTACCTCCATGTCTGACAGTAGTGGCTGGTTAGTTCTGGATGGCTGCTTGGTCCTTGGTGCCTTTGGTGGCCTCTTAACCAACTGGTTATTGTGTTTGGGAATAATTTTACCAGCCGATACAACCGAGTAAAATCTTGATGACATGTTCCCAAGCTTTTTAATGCGCTCTGTATTAAACTTGTAGTTTTCCATCATCGTCGTACCAACACATTTCCAGGATAGAAAAAAAATGTCCCCATTCTGATAACAAACATTGTTTCCCAAAGCCGATACATTTCCTTGGAGCCATTGCCAATTCTTGACTTGCACACACTGACTTGTCAAAGAAGGGGAACCAGTTTTCAGAGCATACAGATTCCAAGACTTTGCTGTTCTGTGAGCTGTTCCGTCAACTTCATTATCCAGCTTTAATAGAGCACATCCAGTTTTATTAAAGCTTTGGCATCGGCGTATCGTTGTTAAAGCGTGGAAAGATCTAGTCTGAAAGCGCAGAAGTTTCAGTCTCATTGCTTCCCTCAGAACTGTATTTAAAACAAACAAACAAACATCATCCATCAACCCTTTGGAAATAAATAATATTAGTTTCTCCTCATCTAAAAGATGGTTCCATTTGCATATGCTAGTGCTCCTAAAAGCATATATATTGGTGGGATTAAACAGCTTTTTTTCAATGCTATGGAAATACTATAATTAAGATCAAAACACATTGTTGTGTGCTTGCAATACATGGTGAAAAAGCAGAATTGGTTGCTACATCAATATGTAAGCAGACATTGTTTTTCTCGGTTGCTCATTCTGCATAGCAGGCTGCACCCCACTAACAAAATTACTCATGAGCAAGCACACACCACAAAGAGGACATCAGATTCTGTGAATAATTGTTTTATATATAATAAAACAAACAATTAGATTACTCTGTGCTTGTATGGGAACGTCACCTATGGAACACACACACACACACACATCAGCATCAGCTCAAACTGCTGTACTGCAAAGAAGCCAAGCACAGAACCAGCTGTGTTCATCTGCCGAGGACAGAGCAAGAGCCAAGCCAATCAGGTTACCTTCTTAATCCTGCCAGTACACATCAGTGCCCCAGAGACCAACAAGGCCTTCTAGAGTGACCTGTGCTGATGGAAACATGACAGTGTCCTTCTTCTGTTACTCTAGACTAAGAGCAAACTTATTATTTGTACGCTAAATCGTATGAGCTAATGAAATAAATTCTAGAAATATTCACAGACAGTAGATTGAATACCTCAGCAGGTGTTTCACTTGCTGAAAAACTGAAGCATCAAGTCCCTGCTCCCATCTGCTTTTGTTGACCAAGGACATTTCCCTAGTGACACAAAATTCATCCTCAGTATGTTATTAAGAAAAAACAAAATTGTAAGCTAGATAGTTTGAAAAAACTGCTAATTTCAGAGTATTTTTCAAAAACTATGTAAAGAAAGATCTTCCATACTGGCCATATGTTTAACATAATAGTTAAAAAAAGCATTTTCTTTTGAGAATGAATCATTGTGTGTGACTGGAGCAAGCCCTCCATCCTGACACGGATATCTAGATGCTAACACAATACACACAAAACTTAAAAAAACCCACAAGACCAAACCTCATGCTGACTCAACTCAATGGGACTACACAAACTCTGACATAAGAGGCATACAATTCTACAAAAAAAACAGGATGTAAGACAACCTTACGCTACCACAAAATATGTGATATTGGGCATAATTTCAAATGCTCTTCACTTGCAGTTTTTTGTCAAATTTGCAGACCTGTCATTTACATACTTATTAGAATAAACTAATTATTAGTTTCACTTTAAACCTGTCCTATATTTAAAAATTGATCCAGAAAACTCTGCCTAGGACAAAGCAAATTTGCCTTTTAAAAGATCTGTTACCTCTAATAATCAACACCAAAACTTAGCAGCTGCAACACAAGGTGGTTGAGAGCCAGGACAAGGGGAGAAGCCTCCAGTAGCAGAGGATAACTAGCAGAAATAGACTCAAAAATGCCAGGTAAATCCATATCTTCCTAGCCAACAAAACCTTGTGCCAAATCGTCAGGGTTGAGTTTTCAACTGTACAAGCTTACAGCATGCTGCAAGTAAGCAGTGATCACACAGACTAAATTCCACCCAGGAATCTTTGCACCAGATCGGCAGAAGCAGAGGCACCCAGACAGGGAGTGCAGAACAGAGCAACCCACGAGACAGGGGGAATTAAGCCCTACCAAAACCAGGCAGCAGATGCCACCTCCAAACAGCAGAAACAAGACTGCGCTTTAGCGTTCAACGCCTCTGACACCTGAAGTATGACCAGACACACTTTATCCACGCCCGGCGCCTTTCCAGCGGGAGGCCAGGCTCGCTACGGCAGTCATCAAGATGTACGACTAAACCCGGCCCGCTCCGCCGACGGGCGCACACAACGGCCCGACACGGCAGCCCCAAGTGCTG